AGAACGGCGCCACCACAGCGTCGGAGTCCCAGCCGGCTGTTGTCGCTTCGGACAATGCCTCCGCCGCCGAACTAGCTTCCGCCACCACCACTAAGGCTGCTGCTGATGCGACCCCCGCCCAGGGCAACCCATCGAGCGACGAGCCCGACTCCGAGCTTCCTAAGGCAGACGAAGCTTCAGCCGATCAGACCGCTGCTACCACCACTAACACTGCCGCTGCCACTCCGCCCGAGAAGCGATGGCCGGGTTGGCCAGGGGATTGCGTGTTTCGGCTCATTGTGCCGGTCCTCAAGGTTGGTAGTATTATCGGTCGGAAGGGTGAGCTCATTAAGAAGATGTGCGAGGAGACTCGAGCGCGCATTCGCGTTCTTGATGGTGCCGTGGGCACTCCGGATCGAATTGTGAGTGTATTTGCATCTGTATTTCTAGGGTTTACTTTTGGTATTTTCCTGATCATTTCTACATTCCAATTTCCTTTCTGCGATAATAAAACACTGGGAAAATTATGTAAATCAAGATTTGTACTTCAATGCTTTTTTCCCCTTGTGTGGTTATTTGAGTACGTTTTGCTAGGGTTTGTACCTTTGATATCTTGCTTAAATTCTATTGTGGACGAAGCGAAGCAGAATAATGTGGATTCATATTGAACTTAGACTCTACACTACTTATCAAGTGACAAATAACAATTTTTCGTTAGGTCTATTCTCTTTTTATCACTGGAGCGTTATGATGATGTTCATTGCGCTTGCTTGCCGTTTGGTTTGATTGATGTACTCTCTTTATCAAGTACTTTGCAACTGGTACTGTTATTTGAATTGATTCTTGTTTTTCGTTGTTCGACTTCAATTTAATTAAAACTTTGTAAATCTCATAAGGCATTTTTACTGTTAAATATTAATTTATTGTTGCAGTTAGCTTTCAAGGTTGGGAATTATATGGATAACATTTATGACGTAGTTGCCTTGTGAGATTATCAGATCACTTGGATACTTTGATAAAGTATTCTCTTCATGTTGCTGATGGTTTTGATTTCATCAAAAATGCTTACTCAATTTTCTTGTACCTGTTGCTTACATGGCAGTAGTAAATTACCAAAGTGGGTGGAAATTGTTCATGTACATTCATGACTAGACCTATTGAACGTTTTCCTCAGATGAGTACCTTCTACTTGTCTGTCTGTTTCTTTCCAATCATTGAATGTTGATAAATTATTCTTCATTTGTTTAGGTACTTATATCAGGGAAGGAAGAGCCAGAGGCACCTGTTTCCCCTGCAATGGATGCTGCAATAAGGGTATTTAAGCGTGTCTATGGATTGTCTGAAGGTGATGGTGAGAATAAAGCATCAGGACCGGCTGGGGTTGCATATGTTTCTGTTCGTCTGCTGGTGGCATCGACACAGGCTATCAATTTGATTGGAAAGCAAGGTTCATTAATTAAATCTATACAGGAGAGTACTGGTGCTTCTGCTCGTGTGTTGTCTGGAGGTATGCTTCTTATTACCGTTATTTAATCATGCATTGAGGATGTTTCTGGCAATGAGTTATCCTGTCTGTTCTTCCACATTACTAATGTTATGTGAAGCCTGCTGTAGTGTATCTTCTGTACTTTCATGTGCTTTGACTGGCTTTTTAGGGAAGATTATTGATATGAGGTAGATTTAAGGGGAAACCCCCCCCCGGGGGGAACACCAAAAGAAAAAGTAACTGGCAAAATCACTAAGCCTGTTTCCTGGCTTCCACTCATTGATATAGAATATGGGATATCGGATATCTGAGTACTGAGCAGGTTCTATGGATTGCTTAATGAAGTACTTAAGCATGATAATAATACCGCTCCATCAACAAACTTTTGAGGGAGAGTTCTCCACACTGCTTGGGTTCCTATCAGGTTCTAGGGGAAATATTTCCCCAATTTATTTGTTCCTGGAGAGGGTACAGCTTGCCTATTAGGTTATGGTTTAGCATCTTGGTTTAGGGTTATTGATAATTCTAAGCAGCAGTTGTAACTAGTAATTTTTCCGACCCAATCCATTTGGTGTCTAAATTTCAGGCTGTTAATAATTGTTTGTTTGGTATGTGGATCTAGAATATAGTGCTTCTGCTTACCAAATCATTTTCCTGATAGATGAAGTGCCATTTTATGCTGCTGCGGATGAGAGGATTGTAGAGTTGCAGGGAGAAGCCTTGAAGGTCCTTAAGGCTCTGGAAGCAGTAGTTGGCCACCTACGAAAGTTCTTGGTCGATCATAGTGTTCTTCCCCTTTTTGAGAAAAAAACTGTAAGCTTTTGCTGCTGCATCTCTATTATTTTATTTTCTTTTTGTTTTTTTGGGGCATTCTCGTGCCATGAGATTTGTCATTTATGCTTAAAAGTTCTTAGCAGTGTATTACCAGTTTGCATTCTCTGATTTGAAACTATTTTGTATTCCTAATTTCATGTCGGAGTAAAAAAAAAAGGGGGGGGTTTATATGTCATGATATTTAGGTTTGAAGGTGCTTAACCGTGTAGATTCTTGTTTCTTGAATCGTTATTTTGGCTTTTTGTGAGATGATTAATTAGACATTGACGTGTTTATAACCCTCTTATTCAATTTTTTCATTGCCTTGATATGTGTGACTTTCTGTTCTGTTCAAGTACAATGCAACAACCACACAAGACCGGCAAGCAGATACCTGGGCTGACAAGACATCTCTGCATAATGCTTCGCAAAATAGCATTAGTGTTGATGTTCCTCTTTCAACCAAAAGGGATTCTCTTTTTGTTGAGCGTGAAACTCATTTGGATTCGCAACTCCCATCCTCTGCAATGTCACTCTACGGGCAGGATTCTTCACTTCCTGGTGTTCGTTCTTCAACCCTTGGTCGTGGTGGGGCTCCCATTGTTACCAATGTTAGTATTCTAACTACTCGAATGTTTTATCTGTGTACCATTTAAGTTAAAAGCTTCATTCTAAACAATACCGATATCCTTGATTTCTTATGCTTGTATATAGCAATTTTCAGATTATTTACTGTGTTACTATGTAGCATTCTTATCTTTTGGAAACATTTGATTTAATGTGGCTTAAATTTTATGATTCCAAGATGAACCTTTGACTTATTTTACATGTACTGATTCACCTATAACTTAATTCTTTTCATATGTTTCATTTATTTATCCTTTGACAGGTCATGGTAACTCCAGCTCACCCATTTTATTCCTTTCAATTATCAGGTGATACAAACAATGCAAATACCACTATCCTATGCTGAGGACATCATTGGGATTCAAGGGACTAATATTGCTTACATTCGCCGTACCAGCGGAGCCATACTGACGGTGCAAGAGAGCAGGGTGCCTGATGAAATTATTGTGGAAATTAAAGGCACCACAACACAAGTCCAATTGGCACAACAGTTGATCCAGGTAAGAGAATTGACAGGGCTTTTTCAGCCTATGCATATGATTCTGTTATGATAAGCATAAGATTAATTTCCTACTGTCCTAATTTCCCTAAACACACCTTATGATCAATCTCCAAAGTACCCCTTATTCTCGTACAACTGGACCCAAATAGACCAAACCTTGGGGAATCCATCATTGTCTGGTCCCCGGGTTAAAACATATTGCAAAGATAATTTCTATCGAGGGAATATGTACCTGTATGCCGGAAAAGGTTTGAACTAAAGACGTGAAGTATTTACCTTATTCTCAGTTGACTGAATTCATTATAGTGAGATGAAATTAGCAAGGTCACCTATTTCTGTCCTGGTTACTTGTACAGCTAGGGGACATGTAAGGTCTTATCCGGCAAATATTTATACCAATATTTAGGGTTTGATATCATGTATGAGTGCTGAATGATTTGTTGGCATGCGAATATATGATACCATCCGGGTAAACAAGTTTGCATTTGCTGATAGAAATTCCTCTCTGGTTACAGGAAGTGATAAGCAATCACAAAGAGCCAGCCTCTAGCAGTTACGGTAGGTTAGATACAGGTGGTCTGAGGTCCTCATATGCTCAGTTGGGGGGCAGTACATCTTACTCGTCTTCTTCAGTTTCCTCACAGCCCTACCCAGGTTATGGCTCTTCTGGTTTAGGAGGCTACAGTACTTTTAGGCTCTGAAGTTTTCTCTCTGAGCTCACGAGTTGCTCTATTTGGGCTTAGTTTCTTCCTAATCAATGATTTGAGGAAAACTAATGTACTATGACTCAAACAATGTATAACTGCGATAACAAAAGCCTTTTTCCCATTGTCTTTTATTGTGCATAGTTTTGTATTGATTTACAAGTCTTATGGTGGCTTCCACATTTATAGGGTGATTAAATTATATTTTCATGATTATGATCTTTAGTTTTGCTATTTCACATAGATATCATGCCTTTATCATTGTGTTTTGGTCCTTATCAAGATAATGATGCAACTTCTTAAAAAAAAAAAAAAAAAACCTCCCTTTTGCCGACAAATTGTTTGTTCCTTAATTGTTAGTGAAATTCTTGTAGTTTTTGTTTGTTTTTTTGGATGAAATAAGTTGAAACGCTAAAAAGTTTATTCAGCTATGCCAAAACTTGGATGGGTTAAGCCCTTTGCCCTCAACAGGTGGGTCGGATTTTTCTGACAACATGCCAATAGCCTGTTTATTAGCATGAATACTTCCTGTTAATTGGGAAATTTAGCCACCTTGTAATTTTAAGCAGTTAGTGTTTTTTTAATTTTTGAAAAATTAACCACATGAAATTCTAGGAAAAGAACTCATTGAAATAGTACTATTAAAAAGACTTTTTCATTTGAAAGATTAATTATTTTAATTTTAATATAATATATAAAAATAAGATTTACTTATTTTGAGAATCACTTATTTAATTGAGAAGGGGTGCTGTCACTTACGCTTACCTAAATTATTATGACTTAATCTTCAGTGCTTTCTAATGGACTAATATTCTATTGAAATGAATACTTAAAAAAAAAAATTAAATACCTTCACGAAGGGGGAGGAGAATTATTATTGTTAGCCTAAAAATAAATAAATTCAATGGAATCCAAAGCCTCCGAACCGCGTAAAGTGAATATACAGTTCGTTATCCAGCTGATGAAGAAAAGAGAAGACAGTTCGTTATTATCCTCAAAGTGTTCTCACATTTAGGCCAACCGTTGGCTAGAGGATTCGCATATCATCTTCCAGAAGAAGACGAAGAAAATGCCGACTTTGAACTTATTTACGAACGTGCCTGTGGATCCCGTCGTCGCTTCGGATATTCTCAGGGACGCCACCAAAGCTGTCGCTAAAATCATTGGCAAGCCTGAATCTGTAAGTCTAACTTCTTTTCTTCTTCGCTCCTCCTTTTCATTCTTCTCTTGTTCTCTTTCTAGTTTTAACTGTAAAAGTAATCGGAAGCGACGTACTGAATCATAGTAGTATGAGCTCAAAATCGCGCCTTTAAGATGTTCGATAGAATGTTCGATCTCGTTGAGTATGAGTATAAAGTAGTTTGAGCGTTAATCTATTGGCACTTGGCAGAAACATGTTGCTAGAAGATAATTGAAAATTGGGTCGGGTGGGTTTTGGTGGAATTTTGTAAGGTTGTAAGCGTGCAAGGGGTGAAAAAGATGGTAGAGCTGGATGACTTGTCAAAAGACCATTACTTTTGTGTTGTAGTTAATTCAAGTTGAACCTGTTATTTTAGGAAAAGTGGGGATTATATTTCTTTTCATCCAAACAAACTGATACACTTTTGTCCCTCTTTATGCTAGTTTCTAAAATGGTTAAAAGCTATAATCCCGTTTCAATGAGAAAAATCAGTTTCTTGTGTTCTTGGCGGAGTCACTTGACATCTTCTGTTGTTACTCTATTATAATCATTGTCGTTAGTCTGGCTTTGGTGGCTTCACAAGTATAGTTTGAGCATTCTCACTTATATGTAAATCATAACTCAGTTAAACCTGTGTATACCCTGGTTTTACCAATGTAATCTATATAAATCATAACCGGTGAGATTAATAAACAGCATTTGTGTGCTCTTCATTTTATTCAGATTCTAGCTATGGCCATCCCAAACAGCATTGCTGTACATAGTTTGATATACTTGTGGCTTTTCTTTACCTTTTGCAGTATGTGATGATTTTGTTGAATGGGCAAGTACCTATTGCATTTGCTGGAACTGAAGAGCCAGCTGCGTATGGAGAACTGATCTCCATAGGGGGACTTGGTCCAAGTGTCAATGGAAATCTGAGTTCAACAATTGCAGAAATTCTTGAAACTAAGCTATCAATTGATAGCTCTCGTTTCTATATCAAATTTTATGATGCTCCGGTAATTCTTTTGTTCTGTCCTATGGTAGCTTTTTTAGGGTTTTCAGTATGTACTTGCCATAGGAAGAATGGTATAACATGAGATTGCTCTTGAAGGCATGTTTGGGTTACTTTTGTTTGGCGGCCTCGAAGTTCGCCAAATTGGAGATAAAAGAGAGGGATGATGTTGGGGGCTTAACTGAACATTTTTTTTCCCATTATCCTCTTTTCCTTAGTAGCAACACTCACTAAGTTTTCAATGAAATTTCCCTTCCCTTCCTCTCCATTGTCATCCATCCAAACATAGCCTAAATTATGGGTTTTTATGAATAATGTGAATAATAGTTGTGACTAGCTTTCACCAGTCACCACTTTATCTTGTTCGATATATTCTTATTTGATGTAAAGTGATTTTGTATATCATTAGTTCTTTAATTCTCTCCACATGATGGTGGGTTTGTCAGCAATAATTGTTCAGATAGTTCTCTTTCCACCAGCTATATGCCCTATTTATTGATTTGGAAAACTCTATAAATTAATGATCAAGTTTTTTCACTGCCTGTCTCATTTTGAGAATGCAAGGAAACAACCTTAAACATGCCATGAGTAGTCTTCTCAAATCTGCTCAAAGTTACTATCAATTTTTGCAATCTTAAGGTCTTATTATATTTTTCTGATGCAGAGATCATTCTTCGGGTTCAATGGCTCAACTTTTTGATCAAGCATTCTTTCTAGGCGTATGGGAGATCTTCCATTGAAATAGAATCGGGTAGGTTCATCTTTTGGTAAATTCTGTGAAATTTGAGTGCTTTGGTTTTGTAGTGGATGAAACATAATCATGATTATCATTTGTGAAATGGTATCTTCCTTTGTCTTTCATCCTGATCTTTCTGAAGTGCAACTCTGTAATTTATTGTTCTTCCTGCCATTTTTACTTGAATGTTCAAGCAGTTTTCTTTTCTTTTTTTTTAATTAAAAAAAACACCTTGGTGCTCTTTCATGGGCGGATAACAAGCGTTGAATTTTTTTTCAAAAAAGATAACATTATCTGATAGTGATTTTGATTAAAAAAATAAAGTAGAAGATTTATTATCTCTATATCTTTCATGTGCCCTATTTATCTGGTTTTGTTCTCTCATTCTCTTTATACGACTGATTTTCACATTATGTATCACAATGTTCAAATTTTCGTTTCTGATTCTCTGTCAAGTATTCATATAAAACTTTATTGTGTATAAAATATTATAACTTCAATGTAATTTTCAAACAAACCCATGCATAAAATTAATTCTAGTTTTGTGGATACAAAAATTAATTATAGTTTTATTAATGTAAGATATATAACGGATCCATGAGTGTATGAAATGCAACTTTTATTATTACTCAGCAATGACAAAGCGCTCACAGCGATTACACGTGGCTTTTAGACATTGGAAAGAACATTAACTCTAAGACTAAGTCATCTGAAGACTCTTAATATGAGTGATAAAGAAAGATAAGAAGAAGACACAGACTAGTGAACCGACAAGAACCCCCTAACTAATTAGACTCTTTTTTTTTTTTTTTGGGTGATTACATGCTCATTGGGCTTTCAAGATCATTGAGTGCCGCAATGGCTGCTTGGATCTTTATCTGTACAACATCTTTCTCTTCCTCATCCGCCTGAAAACACAACGGAAACAAGGATTTTAATTTTGATTTTCATACATTCATTAACCATGAAATACTTGAGAATTTTAGTATATATTATTTCCATAAGATAAGGGATATATAAATAAATAAACATCATTTCGAGATGTGCATTAGTTATATCAACTAAAGCTAACCAGCTAGCATTGGATTCAAATTTCTCACCAAACCAGCTGATGATTATAACCCTTCAATTTCTTGCACGTTTCAAACCAATTTTCTTTTGCAATTGATGTGACTTTTATATATAGTGCTGGCCACATAAATATTAATTCACAGTTAATTAATAGTCACACATACGGCCTTGACTTTAGGATGACAGCAGAACATAATCAGATGCCTAAATCATCGTCGATTTCATCTTATTTTGATTTGCTATTAACACGGGTCACTTGCACTAGAATGTAATTATACTGAATTGACTTTCTTGGCAGTTATGTTGCAAGAAACCTCCAAAATAGTACTAGTACTTTGTGGAAAAAAAATTAGTTGGGTACACAATAAAAAAAATAATTGAAAATGAATTATTAACTAATAATTATAAAATATAATAAATATTTTTAAAAAACAACTCTAGAAGACTAGTAACTGGGAAGACCAAGAAGCTGAACTATTGGTAATTTAGTTCATTACTCGATGAACGTCGAAAGTCAAATAAGCGAAATAAGGGTCAATGGGATTGGTCTCCGTAGAATCCGGGGCCCAGCTAAGCGACAAGGCGTTTTTGCACTTGAAAACGACAGCAGATATGAAAATTCGTGGAGAGACAGAGAGAGAGACGATGTCAGGGAGATGTTTCATGGGATCTGGAGGAACATGACAACATGAAGTGAAGACGATTCAGAAGCCTGCATTCTTGAGAATGAGGATCACGTTTTGGAATTCAAACCAATTTTCCCATGTTCCTTCATTGAAGGAAACGAGTGGTGTTAGAATTTTCCAGGAAAGTCCATAAATTTTCCTCGTGTGAGAAATATGTTTAATTACATATGTAGTGTTTTCTTAATCCCCCCACGAGTTTGAAACTCCGATCAAATCAATTTAGCTAAAAATTCCTAACTTGTTCATCTCAAGTTTGTAGCTCCATCAGTTTCATCTCCCATTTAGATGAAGTATTTAATTTGTGAGATTAAGATGAATTTATAAAGTTACATATATATATATCATAATTAATAACCTCAGAGTAATCTAAAACTAGCATGATCGAACTTATGACTTTTCACTTATAGGAGAGTTTTCATACTACTAAGCCATGAGGTAAGTGGCAATTATGGGTAAAGGTTAAACATTCAACATGTAGAAAAATACAATCCTACATACTACTCCTCTGATCCTTAATATAAGACCTAATTATTGAGTTGATTTTGAGTCTAAATATAAGACCTATTTCTTATATTTATCAATTTTTTCTAAATTACCCCAATAGATACTCTCTCAACTATAATCAAGTAGAAAAGGAAACAAGGATATTAACAAAAATGATTATAGTATTTTAGAAAAAATACGTCATATTTTTTTTTTATAATCAACTAACTTACTTAACTTTCTTGATATAATCAAATTAATTAAATAGATCTTATATTAAGAACTAAAAGAGTATAATAGAAAGTAGTCATTTCTTTGGAAAAGTCGAGAATAATTAGTCACATGATAAAGTTAGCATAATGACTCACCAAAGCAGCTAGAGATGGAGGATATTAAATTAAGATTTTTTGAAAAAAGGATAAGATTCGGATGAAGGAGTGTTGTCTAATTCCCAAGTATGAGGACAAACTAGTCACAGAGATAATTTTCTATAAAAATAATAATAAACTAAATGAGGGTCAAGCACATGGCTTAGAATATTATATTCTATAATTGTGGTGAGTAATGACAGGAGGAAACAACTCAGAGTGGTGCGGTGGCCTTGGGGAAAAAAAAGAAAAAAAGCAAAAGGAAAAGAAGACAGGGACGGAGCCAATAGCATAACATGCAAAGCTTCTTCTTTTATGACGATTCCAACGTAAGATTGTCGAGAGAGGCATGTACTTTTAACTAATTTGATTAGATTAAAAAAGTTAAATAAATTAGTTAATTATAAAAAATATGACATATTAAGTAAATTAGATAATTATAAGAAATATGATATATTTTTTTTAAAACATCATAATTATTATTTTTTTAATATCCTCCCACGCTCTCTATTCTACTTATAGAATTATAACTGAGGAAATGTTAATGGAAATAATTTCAAAAATAAATAAATATGATAAATAAATTTTATAGTTGAAAGTAAAATTAACTTAATAATTAAATCATATATTAAAAATAATAAGAATAGAATCACAAAACAAGAAAATGTGTCTTGAGAAGCAGAGTCTCTGGTGCGGGGGGCCCTCTTTCCCTTTGTGCTGAATTGGGACGCTTAGAGATTAAATACGGATCTCACATGATTCTCCAAAAGCAAACAAACATCCAACTCACGCAATTTTTTTCAACTTTCCTAAAGTCACCCTAGCATGTGGTCCCTATCTCGTTTTGGCAATATGTAAGAAACAGATCTCCTTTTAACGTTATTTAGTTTTTTTTAAATAAATATTTCTTTTTTAACTCTTATTTTCTTAATATGATTATTAATTTTTTTATTTTTTAATTACATCGAGACAATTTACATTTTTTTATATAATATATGATATCAAGTATACTATTAAGTTAAATCTCATGTTCAACAGCTGATAATCCATTTCTCTATCTTTTCCCGTTAGACTAACACATGGATAAAATAATCAATATATACTTACATGAGTTTGTGTCTAATTATTTTTTTTTTTAAATTAAAAGGGCAACAGAACCTCTGCGACCTTTTAGTTACAAGAAAGTTCTCATATTATTACACTATAAGGCTATTGAATATCTGATCATCTGTTTGTGAACATACGAGTTAGGTTTTTTTCTTTCAATTATTGTTTGGATAATTACTCCATCCCCTTTAAGAGACGAGTCCCAGTGTTCCACACACTTATCACACATACACACCTTAATTGAAAGGAGGAGGTGTAAAGTGCTACTAGTCGAGTTGCAGGATCTTCATGTCTAAAGGGAAGAGGGAAGAAAGTTTGTGGTTATATTTACAGGACATTAGGACAGGGAGAGAAGATCTTCATATTAACGTATAATTTTACTCTTAATTTATTACTATGTTGACTTTGTTTTGATAGGATACAATATATATTAAATAGAAATAAAATTGAAAAGTTGTTAAACTTTAAATGAGAATCAATAAAATTTAATATTTTTATTGGTCTGCGTAAAACATATCACATGTTATTAGAAGTGACTTGTAAATAGAAACAGAAGAGTATACGAGTAACTAAGTTGAACCAGAAGAGGGAAGAGTGACTGACCTGAATGAAGAGGGTGTGGAGGAGGCGGCCGGAGAAAGAGGTGATGTTGGCGGTGATAATCTTGAGCTTCAAAGATTCAAACACTTCACACAGCTTTACCATTGTGTCTGTCCTCTTGCTGCACGCCAAGCTCACCACCACCGTCTTCTCTCCCATGTATGTCACTCTCAGCTGCTCCTCCATCACACACCATTCATTTCAATGTTATTCATTCATTCATTCCTCATACTACTAACTACTCCTTTTCTAATTATTATTTTAGAGCACCTAACTTGCTCCCTAACACACACACAAACAATATATGCGTGCATTATAGAGTACATAACACTCACCATAACATATTAGCAGCTCCATGTATAATTTACAGTTTCTAACATATTTACCATTTACAATTCCTCCAAAATTTTGCAATCAATTTTCTCAACAAGAAAACATGATGCATGTGCATACAACTTTTAAAAATGATTGCATAATGTTATTAAATTTTTGCGATCAAAATATAAAATAACAGTAATTGCTTAGTGATGTCATAACAATGCTTTCATAGAATTCATAGTAAATCAGGGCTCTACAAGTTATCACACCATCACTTAACAGTATGCGCTGCAAATATAATGCTTGAAAATTTGATTAAATTATTTGTGAATAGGTGGGAAATGGTTTTATATTGTCAATTATAGAAGAGAGAGAGGGAGGGAGAGATAGAGATAGAGATGGAGAGAGATGATTACCTCATGGACTTCAATGGGGGGATTTCTTGCGCTGACGGACTCAAAAAGCTGCTGCTCTGTCTTGTTCCTCTTGGACCTGAGAAGCACAGGCAGGTCTTGTTCATATTCAAACCTTGAATTCTGATTCCCGCTGTTGCTACTCATCATGTTCATGTTCATGTTCATGTTCTTGCCAGATTCAAGCTCCATTATCTCTGCTTCGATGCTCTTCTCTTGTTCGTGCAAGTGCTGAATGTACTCGATCGCATCCTTTATGATCGACGCCTTATCCATCTGTTTTTATTAATTGTCCCAGCCAACACCACCACCACCACCACCACCACCACCAGCAACATCAATTTTAATTAGTCAACAGATCCTAATAATATAGCTATCAAAGAATAATCTATTTAACTACCCAATTAAACATTTCATAGTGGTGGGTTCGGATTTCCCTTTTTTTTTTTTTTGTCTTTTCTGTCCAACATTGTGCGAGTTAACTACTTTACCTTGCTAATATTGGGAACCACTGCTCTGAGAGCGAAGAGCCGTTCGTTGAGCTTCTTCCTGCGATTCCTCTCGGAGACAATATTCTTGGAGGTCGTCGACGACGAAGCGTTGCCATCTGGAGAGCTCGAGTCGTAGTAGCCGGAGATTGCCTCGTCCAGTGCCCAGCTGCCGAGTTTGAGAGAAAATTTTAGGAAAGAATCGGTTCATCTATTGAGTTCGATCGATCGTGGACTTAATAGTAAACGTAATTGTTGACTAGAGTGAGTGAAATACCTTTCGAGCTCTTCGGTTTGGTAGAACACTTGCGTCTCCCAGAAATGATTGAGTTCGCTGCCGAAGTTCTCCATGGTTGTGGAGCTCGAGGTACAGAGAGAAGCACACACAGACACAGAGAGAGAGAGAGAGGGGTGGCCCTGCCTGGTATTGATGGAGAGGGAGGCGTGGGGATCAATTTATAGGGAAGCGAGCTAGGGGTCATAGTTCATTCAGGCAGGGGGCTGGCCTTTCTTACATATTTCATATAAATAAATAAATAAATTCTTACATTATATTAATTTTTTATTAAAACATAATAATTTTTTAATTTTATTTCTGTTTCATGTATATACCTTTTAAACAAATAACTATTCATACTATAATAAATAATAAATAAAATCATATATTTATATTAAAATTTAATAAATTTATTTATAAATAAAAAAAATTCTCATAAAGAGAATAAGATGAGTATGAAATGAAAAATTGTTGGAGGCTTTCACACCATAACAAAATCGTTGGGGGCTGAAATTCGTACTTACTACAAATACAGTACTTATTAATATTATTTTATTAAAAGGGCACGCAAAGAGATATTTCTAAACAGCAATTTTTTTTTTGACCAGCTCTAAACAACAATTTTTATTACTGAAAAATTGGGATTTAGAAATAAAGAATATATTAAAATCACAATTATTTCTTGAAAATTAAAATAGGTGATAAGCTTCAATATATTATACACGAATAATTAATTTGTAAAGATTTAAAAAAATTAGTTAAATTAATTATTTGTAAAATGTATATGTTGGTTTTTCTGAAGTATTTTTTTTTAACCACTTATATTGAAACTACTTTTTGATATAAATTTTCTTAACATATGTAATCAATACTGATAGTTTAAGAATAATTTATAAATGTGAAAGATATATTAAATTAAAATATTATATTTACAATCAAATATAATCTCTGTCTCATTCCTATATTAAAAATAGGAGGGAATGTCATGTTTTAATTATTTTATAAAAAATGTTTATGTAATCGTTATACGAGAAAATGACATGTTTAAATGTTACTGAAACTTTCAAAATTAATCGGGGCAAACGCCATATACCAAGATAACCATAATACACAAGCCTTCGCTATAAATTGAAATTTCAAATAACTTTATGAGCTATCAAATCTAAATTAGTGAATTTATTTATTTACACGTGCGCATTGGTGTTGTCTTATAAGGGCAGCTATATTTAGGAGATTATGAATCCAACCATCAAATGTATAACTGCTCTTGTCCCATAAGGTGGCTCCACGTTGCCAACAATTAAACTTGTGTGCTGCATTCTCAAATAAAGCAAGAATGCGCTTTCAAACCCTTGATTTTGTACCGGTCTTTAATATAAGACTCGATTTGACTTTTTATTTGATCCTAATTATAAGACTCCAATCCATTTTGTTTTTTAATTTATGTATTTTTTTTCAAGATAGTCCTTCTAATAATGATAGTTCTAGCCAATACACTTAATTAGCAAGGATATTTTAGGAATGACAACACTTATTTATTACAAATAACTAACTTAACTTACTTCCTTAATCTCCTCAAATTAGTCAACTAGGTCTTATAATTAGGACTGGAGGTAGTATTACTGTTCTCATCAGATTATATTTGCAAGACATTTTATTAAATTCTTAATATCCATGTATTATTTTATTTTAATTTTTAATAAAAAATTAATACAGTTTAACATTTTTTTTAATCTACGTAAAACATGCTGAAAGTATTTTAATATGTTTAATTGCAAGTTCTTGGATTTTAAAAGTTATTCTACCATTATTTATTACGCATCCGTTTTAATGAGAAAGTAAGAACAATCAATTAAAGGTAAAGGTGTATGAAATTTAATTCTTAATATAAAATTTAGTTAAAGGATTAGATTTGATTTTTAATCTAAAATTTTAATTCATCTTGTTTTTCAAATTCATAAATTTTTCTTCAAAGTTATATACATTTATTGATTATAAAAATTGAGAATAAATATGTAAAAAAAAAAATTTACGTGAACTTTTGTGAGTATCGATGGGAAGACTCGATGAGAGTAATGGGCGGTGCTTTGCTGCGTTGAATTTCCAGGAGGATTCACTCGGTGAAGACCGCTGAGATGGCCTCTGACGCCGCGTTTAGGAAATCAATTTGCAATCTTCAACGTTGCCCTTTCGCGACGGCGCTAGACCTAGCCTTCTTTTCATTGTTTTTTCATTACACACACACATATATGTATACACACTCCACTCGTTTTATTTATAAAAAAATTGAAAAAATATTTTTTAGTTTTATTTATAGGATAATTAGAAAATTTTTTTATAGATATACAATTTTACTTTTCATTTATTATTGTGTTGACTTTATTTATACAAAGTATAATATATATTAAATAAGAGAAAAATTAAAAAATTATTAAATTTTAAATAAGAGTTAATAAAATTGAAGTTTTTTTACCCATATAAAACATGTTTGAAATGAGTTATACATAAAATCAAACAACATATGGTATTGCTAATGTACTATTTATTTGTTGGCTCTAAGATTTCTTCCGTATTGAGAGGTTAGCGGGTTACCTAAATATTACATATATTTTCATCAATTTCTTGTGCATTCAATTCTTTCATCTTTTTCTGGCCCAGAAAAAAAAAAAAATCTTTGATCTTTTACCAACAAGTGTTGATCCAAGTGGAAGGGACTTAGACATCTTAAACATCATGTCTCGAATTTGATTTTTGAGACAGTGTGTATGGAAAAAATACTATTTGGAAGGATCCCAGTTACGACACCTAATAGTACCCTGAGAGACTAGTCTCTTACCGTTCAGATAGGAAGATACTTTAGGCAACCAAAAAAAAAAATCTTTCATCTTTTTTCTAATTATCGCGCTTCTTACTTACTTACCTTCTTAGTTACTCCTTCCAATCTATAATATAAGATGCTGGTTAGAAAAAAAATTATGGTCCAAAATATAAAACATTGACAGGACAATTAGTATGATTTTTTTTATCACTTTTAGCCATGTTAAATATAAGAGAGAGATAAGAGATAAGACAACGTTTTTGGGGGACAAAATAGAGAAACTTTATCATTTTATGACACATTTGAAAAAAAGTAATCAATTTCTTATATTATAGACTGGAAGAAATATAAATAAGGACATATTTAAAAAAGCACATTTTTTACATATTTATTACTTTTAACTAATTTTAACAAATTTTAATTAAAACAATGCAGTTTGCTTTTCTTTCTTTCTTTTTTTTGGTTACGTATAGGTATCCTCTTATTAGAGACAATTCTATTCAAGGCACTGTCAAACACTAAATGTAAACATCATTCTTAGAGATTCAAACCTTAATTTATTATGTTGTAAGGAACTAATCCCTTTTATTAGACTCAAGGTTAGTTATTCGCATCTTATAAAGAATATCCCAGGAAGTAACCTTTGAAACGCACTCGTTTCCACATTGTGATTATCAAGATGTAATTGTCAAATTGAATGAGTTTTCACAAACACTCTCTCTCTCTCTCTCTCTCTCTATACATATACATATACGTATCACCGCTATCAATTACTGAGGAGTATTCTCAAACTCGGTCACTTGCAACAAATACTCACTTTCATGTGCCCCATGTTAGGTCCAGTGACTTTATTAGTGGCACCTTTCTCATTCCATCAATTCAAGCCTGTATTATTATTAGAGGAAAAATTAATTTTTCTGATCTTTTAATTTTGACTCGATTATAATTTAATCTTTTAACTTAAACATAGGACTGAATTATACAGACGGCACCAAATTAAAGAACAGGCCATAAACGTATGGTCGGAGAGATTGATTTTCCCATGCTATTATTAGGTTGAATATACTGACAAAATTGATGATTTAAGCACAGTCACATATTATTTATGCTTTCATAATTTGTTTTGATCAATCACTTTCAGATTTGATCCTACTATCGGGTGCCAACTGCTTCTTGTTGTGTGTCATGGGTTTCATAGTCGTCGGCTTGGGCCCATCAGGATTATAAATGGGATCCGAATGCCACCGCATCATTTTGAATATGAGTGCTAAAATATGAAATTTCAAGTTTAATATTTCTTTTAATTTTAAATATAAAACTCGTTTTATAATATAATTTACTTCTCTTATCTTAAATATAAGACCTTTATATTTAGAATCGGAGAAGTATATTATAAAATGGACTTTGCATTTAAGGCCGAAAGGAGCATCACGTGAATGGAGAACAAAAAAGGATATTCTTGGAAGAGTTATTTCGTTTGAGCCAGCAATGTTTAAGTGTAACTAACATGATGTTAGACACTGGTGTTGAAGATAGTAACGAGATTATGGTTGCTGAAATTAATTAACATAAGATTTATATAATTAATTTTGCAATATAAATGAAATTAGTTAACCAAGCTATTGATAACAAACGTATCTTGCCATCTTAGCTTTTTTAAACTAGCTTTTTTAACCATATATATTGGAATTACTTTTTGGTGTTGGCAAAAAAAAATTACTTTTCGCGAGAACCCCTTCTCTAATAAGAATATTTTAAGAAAAAATTATAAATTTATGAAACAAAATAAATTGAGATTTTATATTTATAATCAAATTTAACTCTCAATTTACTCTTAGAAAAAGATATTGTATAATGTTATAGGCACGAGAACCGTTTGCATGAAAAACTACAGCTACTAATAAAATAATTAGAGAAATTAATATAAACAAATAAAACAAGTCATAACTATCAAATCCTGCTGCCGTTATATACTACTCTCAATAAATCACTGACTTAATGTAAAAATTATATATTTTCAAACTAGATGAATTCTTATATGATTGATTAGTTCCCTCGTTAGCCTCGAAATCTGAAATGAGACCAAAATTATTTTCAAATCAGATGAATTCTTGTGTATTTCACAAATACAGACAAGTTAGATACCGGCAAGACCGAGGTATTATTGTATGAAAATCATACGGTTTAATTTATGAACGACGTGGTGGGGCATATACTAATTTATGTCGACATTTTTCAAGACAGATCCTTTTCAGTTGTCGCTCTCATCTCTTTCTATATAGCATCTCAACCCTTCATTGTATCCAACGACCATAGCAC